GAGGAAACCAAATTTGGTTCATTTTCGAGATTAGGCCCCCCAGGGTTCTGGGCAGTGGGCTGCCTGGTTACAGGCCTTTCAGTCCTCATTTCTGAGAGTGGAAAAGGTAAAAGAAGATTTTTTTTTTTAGGGTTTCAAGGAGTATTTTCAGTTATTAGCAGGTATTTCTTACCCAAAGATTTCAATGATTCACAGGAACCTTTCAAAGAATAATTTTCAAAAAGTAAGACTGAAATTGTTTCACAAAAAAGGGAAAAGACAAGAGAGATCAAGGTTTTTGAATACTTACAAGAAAAAATAGGTTCAGCTAAGTTTTGGTATCACTGAGACAAAGGAAAATACACAGGAAAAGTTTTTGACACAGAAAAAGGCTTTCTGAGTGTTCAGGTAAGTTTATTCACAGAGAATTGGAATTTTTAGATATACTCACAGGTTTTTAGGAAAATCCTTTCTTCAAATTTTTACAGAGATTCAGAAAGGACACTCAATTGAATTTTAACACAGAAAGTTTTCTTGTGTACACAGGTATTTTTATTCACAGGCTTAGGTAAAGTTTTTAGCATTTCAATGATTCACAGGAATCTTTCAAAGAATAATTTTCAGAAAATAAGACTGAAATTGTTTCACAAAAAAGGGAAAAGACAAGAGAGATTAAGGTTTTTTGAATACTTACAAGAAAAAATAGGTTCAGCTAAGTTTTGGTATCACTGAGACAAAGAAAATACACAGGAAAAGTTTTGACACAGAAAAGGCTTTCTGAGTGCTCAGGTAAGTTTATTCACAGAGAATTGGAATTTTTAGATATACTCACAGGGTTTAGGAAAAATCCTTTCTTCAAATTTTTACAGAGATTCAGAAAGGACACTCAATTGAAATTTTAGCACAGAAAATTTTCTTATGTGCACAGGTATTTTATTCACAGGCTTAGGTAAGGTTTTTAGCAGTGGAAGTCTTTTTAAGAATTTTTTTGAGTTCAAATTCAGTAAGTTTTCTTAAGAAAAGGTCTTAGAAGTTCCGTAGATTGAACCACGCTCTGCTACCAATTTTTTGTAAGGTTTTACAATGTGAAAATAAATTTATCAAGCCTTACACCTTGATTGTGAATTTTGGGCAGAGTTTCAAAAGGTCAAGAATTTCAAATTACAGCAATTTATAGTTGAATAAATCAAACACAGCAATTGGCCGGGCGCGAACCGACCGGGATTTCTCCCACTAGCGCAGACCTTTCTTTATGTAAGGTTTTACAATGTGAAAATAAATTTATCAAGCCTTACACCTTGATTGTGAATTTTTTGGCAGAGTTTCAAAAGGTCAAGAATTTCAAATTAGAGCAATTTATCGTTGAATAAATCAAACACAGCAATTGGCCGGGCGCGAACCGACCGGGATTTCTCCCACTAGCGCAGACCTTTCTTTCAGACAGGTACAAATACAAGTAATTCACACAGAATTTCGCATATACACACACACACTCATAAGAGAAGGTTTTTTCCGAAAAGTTCGACAAAAGGAGGACTAGAAATATTGAGTCAGGATCTCAAAAGAAATTTCTTTGGTTTTATAAGACTCAAGAGAGTACAGAAGGAGTTTCAAATTGGAGAGGAATCCAAGTTTATAAGTTCTTTCGAACTGATAAGTTTTCTTTGGTTGGTTCTTAGAAAAGAATCTTAATTGGCCGGGCGCGAACCGACCGGGATTTCTCCCACTAGCGCAGACCTTTCTTTCAGACAGGTACAAATACAAGTAATTCACACAGAATTTCGCATATACACACACACACTCATAAGAGAAGGTTTTTCCGAAAAGTTCGACAAAAGGAGGACTAGAAATATTGAGTCAGGATCTCAAAAGAAATTTCTTTGGTTTTATAAGACTCAAGAGAGTACAGAAGGAGTTTCAAAATTGGAGAGGAATCCAAATTTATAAGTTCTTTCGAACTGAAAGGTTTCTTTGGTTGGTTCTTAGAAATGAATCTTAAGGGATAGAAAAAATAGTTCAAATATCACAAGGTTCCTTTTCACACAACACTCGACAAAAGAAGGTTCCCGAATTTTTCCCAAGTCCGCAGGAGTTAGAATTTTCAAACAAGTCCGAAAATTTCGTACGCGAAAATTGCCTGGTGGCTCTCTAAACTCAAACTGTGTCTGTTGCGTAAAAATTTGGGGGTTTTATGCAATTCTTCCCCACCAGATTTGGCGCGCGTTTTTCTGGCAGAAAACACCCAGGTGCAGGGTGTTTTCGAAGTTTTGTAAAATGCCAGATGTTGGCAGTTTGATAGTAAAATTTTAGTGCTGTTTTTCGTAATTTTCGAGCATGTTTTCCCGTCACCGGGTGTAGGTTTTAAAACACCCAGGTGCAGGGTGTTTTCGAAGTTTTGTAAAATGCCAGATGTTGGCAGTTTGATAGTAAATTTTTAGTGCTGTTTTTCGTAATTTTCGAGCATGTTTTCCCGTCACCGGGTGTAGGTTTTATTAGCTCGACAGCAATTTTCCGGCGCCAGGAAATTACCCCAGGAGATCGGTTTTCTGGGGGAGTCTAGGGTTTTTTGACAGCTCGACATCGTTTGGAATAGGGAGACAAATAGGTTTCCCTGCAAGAGGATACTTTTCGGTTATTTTGCCGGCAGCTGGCAGTGTTTTTATCTAGTCTTTTTGGTGCTGACAGTTTAGCTGAAAGAGAACAATTTCACGTTTGGAATAGGGAGACAAATAGGTTTCCCTGCAAGAGGATACGTTTCGGTTATTTTGCCGGCAGCTGGCAGTGTTTTTATCTAGTCTTTTTGGTGCTGACAGTTTAGCTGAAAGAGAACAATTTCTTTTCCTTTTCAGGAGGGTGCCGATTTTACAATCGGCTCGAATTGCCCTGGTTCCGTGTGCCGTTTTTTCCCGCTTCTTTTCCTTTTCAGGATTTTTGCCGATTTTAACTGTTGGCTTATATTACCCCGGTTTTCGGGGAATAACCTTTCCTTTCTCTTTTTATCTTTTTCGGCGCATCCCGAGATGCGCGATTAAATTTCAAGTCACTGTCCTCCCCCTGCAACCGGCGGCATTTGTCGCCGTCAAAAGAAATTTCGTACAAAATGGGGGAACCCAGTTATTAAGAATTATTGTCCTTCACTGTTATTCTTTCATGATGTTGGAATACAGTATAGTATTATTGAAAGAATTTTCCCTCACTGTTTTTCTTGTATGATGCTGAAAAAGTGTCTTGTAAAAAATTTTTTTGTGCTGCACTGTGCTGATTGTGTAATTTTAAAATTCTGTCTTGAAAAAATTGGCTGCGTTCCATGAATTGTTTATTATTATTGTGAATGAAATATGTTTCCATGTGAATATGTTTCCCACATTTCATCCTTTTTTTGTTGTGACATGACGTGGAGACAATGAACATGAGTATTTTTACAGAACAAAAAGAAGAAAGTCTATATATACGACACCGGATTAAGACCACTTATAAAAATTTTAAAATGTGAGCGACACGTGTATATGTTGTTAAAACTGTATCAACTCCAAAAAAGGGCCTGCTCCAACTTCACAAGTATGTATATATATATATATATATACCTTCCTAGCTCTCACATTTGCAAACATTGCATTCTAAGTTACATTTTATTTCATTTTAGATGGAATTGTTCAAGTCCCAGAATCGGAGACTGAAGCTGGGTTACAAGGGATACATCTACACCAGGGACAAGATAAGGAAAAATCACGTCACTTGGCAGTGTGAGAAAATGAAATGTAAAGGAAGAGCTAAAACTCCATCGGACTACTCAAGCCGAGAAGGTGAGAAAATTATTTAAATTGATTGTAAATATTCCAGCAAAAGTCTAAATACAGTATTCTTATTTTGCCAGGTGAAGATATTGTGACAGTCACTCAAGATCATACAGGTCATATTCCTAATGGCGTTGACTGTGATATAGCCAGGATCAAGACCAGGGTGTTTGAGCTCCAACATTCTGAGGAATCTGCAGAGAAGATAGCTGAAGACCTCCTGGCATCCACGTCATCTTCTGGAAGAGTAGGACTGAGACTTCGTGGTGTGAGAGGATTATCCAAATCCATCAAGGCTCTTCGTCGAAGACAAAATCAAATGCAAGACATAGACAACCTGGATGATGCTGTGATTCCTCCGAAATATCAAGGAACTGGAGAGACTGAAAACTTTCTTTTGTATGATTCTAAAGTTCATAATCCATCTGTTGAACGGATTTTACTTTTTGGCTCCAAGAATGCTTTGAATCGGCTTGAACTTCATGAAACTTGGTTTCTTGATTCTTACTTTCATAGAATTCCACAATATGTGGGTCAGCTGTGTACAATCCATATTGTACTAAATAAAACTGTAATTCCTTGCATTTATGCTGTATGTAAAGGTAAAAGCACTGAGACTTTTGCTGAAATATTAGCAATAATTCGAAATAATTGTGGCATTAAAGTAAACCCGAGTAGCATAATTTGTGAGTACAATGTACAAGCTTTTGAAGGAATTCAACAGATTTTCCCAGATGTTGAAATCCATGGTTCCTTGTTCAATCTGGGGCAAAAGGTTTATGAAAAAATATTGGAAGCTGGAGATTCCTCACTTTACACAGAAAATGAGGCATATAGAACTCTGGTTTGCATGCTCCTTGCCCTTTCATTCTTACCAGAAAGTAGAATTCAACAGTCTTTCTACGCAATTCGGAATATGAGCTTGTACATGAATGCATCTGAGAAAGTTAGATTGTCTTTTGCATCGGTGTTCTCATATTTTGAAGAAAGTTTCATTCAAAATAATAGGGGAACGGGGGGTTATTTCAAGCATGCCTGTTGGAATATGAATTCTCGCCTGGATGATGGCATGCTTGAATTAAATACTGCGATTGAAGAGTGGCACATAACTTTTTCTACTTTGTTGCAATGTAAGAAACCAACAATCTGGACACTGCTAGAGGCTTTCAAGAAAGAAGACTTGAAGGGGGAAGACAATTATAGGGTTTGCTTGAATGGGGAACCAGTGTATGGTAAGAAATTGCGTGTTAAGAAAACAAATGCATGCATGAAAGCCATTGTTGATAAAATAGAAACTAGATCTTTGGGTGCATACCTGGGAGAACTATCTTTATATATAAATCTTTATAATTAAATGAGCTTCATCTTTTGAGCATTCATGTGTCATTTCATTGAGTGATGTGTTCTGATTGATTGATTTTTTTTATTTTATATGCGTGGCTGCTGATTATGTGGCATAATGCATCGGATTCTGATGAATTTTTGTCAAAATTTATTTTAGAGATCTTGAAGATCATCAAGTTGATTACATGCATGCAGCGTATGTAAGTATATGACATATCATACTTAGTTCACCATACTAAAGTAAGTACCTCGTTTACATAAAAGTTTCGTCTCGTTGTCCCTTAACCTTTAACGATTTCAACTCAATTTCTCCCTCACTAGAAGAGGAAATGTTGGCCAATTTCTGGAGAAACATCTGAATATTAAATTAATTATCTGTCTTGTGAGAATTATCATAGGTCCAAAAAAGCCCAAAACATTGAAATATGACTTTTCTACACCTAAGTTCAAACTTTAGACCTTTGAAACCATTCAAGATTTTCTGTCATTTTCATGAATAATCTTCATTTTTCTTTCAGGGATATACTGTACAGTACTTGTTTTTGATTAATTTCGTTAGTCCAAGACTTGTTTTCCTTCATCTGAAGGAAAGTCGGAGCATTAAATTGATTACAGCAAGTGCAGAAATACGTCAAACGACAACAATTTAATCAATGCGTTATTGAAATGAATGTACGAGATATCACCTAAATGGATCAAAAAGCCAGGGCATTTGGACAAGCATTTTAGGAAGTGTACGTTTTCATTAGTACCTGCTGAATAAGATTGAACATCTCATACAAAGTAATGTGTGTTCTTGTTTATGTTTTAATAACACATGATTCTAATCAATCAGAAATGATGCAAAAGTAACTTGCAACAACCTAATCATCATCAGTTCCCCACCATCAGGCCTCTGGGCCGTCTGACAAGTGGCAAAGGAGGATTATTCAATTCCAACACTGGAAAATCAGGCATTTGTCTTGCTTGTGGTTCTAGGACTCTGGACTCTATTGCACCAAACATGGCTGCCTCGTGGGTCTCCCCTTGTTGATTGTTGTTGTTGTATGCAAATGTTGGGGCTTCAACCCTTTCTGCTCCCATGACAGCAGAGTCCATTGGTGTCTGTGCATGATGATGACCAGCAAAGCTCTGGAGTTGGATGCAAAAAAACATACATGGAGTCATTTTACTCTCACTACAGTGAAATTGTGTCACAAAAACCTTTTTTGGACTTAGACTGAAATGATAATTGATAATGAATAATTTATCACTGCAATATTTTCAAAATTGATCACTGAAAAACATTTGTACATTAGACCAGCCAAAATTAGCATTCTCAGATTTTTTCTTAAACTATGAGTGATCTTTTAAAAAATAATTAGCTTTAATTAGCATGTATTCCATCAATTCCACAAATGTTTTCATTCTTGGAGGATTTTGTTTATGGAACCCCTCATGGGAGCACATGTTTGTTTGTTATTCATTACAGCTTCCATCCAATCTATAAGAAGAGCGAGTGGGTCACATTTTTGCTCTGAAATTTCTGACAGTGCCTCTCCTTCTCAGGAAATGTATACCTACATATAGACAATCTATTCAGCATTCATCAAAAAAGCTGGTTACACAGGAATTAGTAAGTTTGTGATTAGATTGATTTAAAATTCATTCTATGGCAGTGATACCCTACCTTCTTCGGCTTGCATGGACCAGCTAATTTTTCTGCAGACTGGCTTCACAAAAGTTTGGCAGACTCAAAAGGGTTTCGCATGACAAACTTTATTGCAGGCATTTACACAGTTCCTGCTTATGAAAAAATTAAAAAACAATTAAGTCAGCAATGTTTTCAATCAGATCAATTAGATAGGGGGTCTTGAAGAGAGATTTCTCAGAATGGATAACCAAAATAATTTATTTGAGTAGGTGAAACATCTGTCTAAAATGTTCTTAGATAACAAGTTAACTTATATTTTTCATCAGATAATTTTGACTGCCATCATGTTTCCAATATTTTGGATAAAGAGACTTTCATTGCCAATTTTGACAGATTATTCATGCAGCAGAAAATGTCCTGCCAACTGGCATACTAGTCTGCATGCTGAGCCACGCATTACTAGGGAACACCGCTTCATAAACAGGGGCTTCAACATTTCACTGTATTCACTTGTAATCACACACACACACAAAAGCTCCTGTTGATTGGGTTCACCTGCAGGTCACCATCGTCATCATCCTCGCGTCCACCAGACATTTGATACGCGAGGAAATCCGCCTGATCCAACGGCTCGATGTTTGCTGGCCCGAAATCAGTGTCCAAGTAGCTCAGGGTTCTTTGCCGAGGGGTGCGTTGCGAGTAAAGGTCTTGTTCATCAGCCGTGTCTTCGATGCCGCTGCTGCTGTCATCCATCGGCAGCATTGACGAGACCTCGCCGTCGTGCTGATGCTCATGATCCCTAGGTGTCGCTGCTGCTGCTCCTGCGTTTTTCTCCGGCTCCCCAGCTGATGTCAATAACATTGCTGCTCCACCACCAGCTCCAACTTCATCATCCTGTTGTAGTTCTTGTTCTTGGTCGTCTTCTTCTTCATCATCATCTCCGTTGTTGTTTTCATTTTCTCCGGCTCCCCAGCTGATGTCAATAACATTGCTGCGCCACCACCAGCACCAACTTCATCATCCTGTTGTAGTTCTTGTTCTTGGTCGTCTTCTTCTTCATCATCATCTCCGTTGTTGTTTTCATCATCATTATCATTATTTTCGGGACGTAGGAAGGGCAAGTCGTAGCACTTGCACACGCAACACGAGGGGAACTTGAACCAGTCGGAGAAGATGCCTCTGCACTCGTTGTTGGGGTCGAAGGCCAGGAGTCGGTGGAGTCGGTATTGCTGCTCGCATCTGCATCCGTCCCTGCAGTACATCTGCTTGTGCTCGTACCTGCAATGTTTTACACAGCATAACATCAGGGTAAAACCTCTTCATTACAACAATCAATAAATACCATCATTATTATATATACAGGCTGCACATTTTTCAGTGATCAAACAAATAACGTTTCTCCAAGTCCTGTCATGAAAAAAAAATCGTACATCATGTTCAAAAAATCTCATACTGCATCAAACTTCCCAATTTTAATGTGAGAAAAATAAGGACTGTTTAATAGAGTACAGTAAAATCTTGTTGAAGTCATTTTCAAAATTGTTGACTGACCGGAAGATTTTCTAAAAACTAACCCTGTATACAGCACGGAACATCTTGCTTTTTTGATGCTTTCAGATGTTTTTTTGCATTTCAAAAACTATGATCTTCAAAATAAAATTTTAATGTTTATCAAAAGCCTTTCCTCCAAATAATTGGTCTAAATCCAGCACTTTTTGTTGACTCTAGGATTTTTCCGTGATTCCTGTACAGATTTTTAGGGTTGGATGTTCAAAAAAAGCTTACAATTTCAAAGCACCAGAACAGGGTTTCTCAAACATACAAACCCTTCTTCAACATGAGTTTTGTTGGGTTCATTTTTTCAAAATAACAATATTTGTTGTAACTTGAGTTTCCTGTATAGGTTCTCCAGGTGGAAAATTACCTGACAAAGGAAGGCACAGTCTGAAGTTCTTAATCTCAAATGTGATCAACTATTTTGCATAATGAAAGCTATATAATGAATGACACACACCTTCCAGGTGGCTCCACACATTATCCTTCCAGAAATGAGAAATTGTTATGCAAATGATGGAATGCATTTCCGAAGCTAAACTTATATTTACAATAAAGAGCACTCAGTTTTTCCAACAATGATGAAATAAAAATAGAATGCCAGAAAAGCAGGATATAATTGAATGTAAACAGGAATCCATGATGTGAAAACACTTCAGTCATTCATTTTGAAAATCTCATTACAACAAATTATTCAACAAAACAAGCTTTTTCAGAAGTCCCAAGATTTTTTTGCAACAATAATGTATTGCGTAGTAGCACACAACTCTTGATCAAACCCTTAACTAAGTGAATTGATGAAAAAAATGCACAGACTCAAAAATTAAAATACACTATTATACTCACGTGCACTTCTCCCAATGGATATATTGCTCAAAGGGATAGAGATTAAGCAGTGCCAGCACTTCTCCTCTTGTATTGTTTGCCCAATATGGAGCAACCACCTCTTCCTTTATTGGACAGGCATTTCTAAAAATTTTCGAGAAAATGCAATCAGCCATCATTTGGGTTGCATCAAAGTTGAACCTTCCTCAATCAATTTTTTATCAAAGACCTTGTCTGAATTCCTTCAGGAAGAATAGATTTAAATGTCACCCTAACAGTAAATGCTTCCCATCCCCTCAAACCTCCACAACTCAAATTTTCTGGAGAACTTCTCTAGAATTTTTCATTGAAACAGGAAAGAGAAAAGCAATGATGAATGTACTTTGAAAGGAAGTGAAAGACCAATTGGACATATGAAATGTTGCCTCCAAGCTCAGTATCACGCCAACTCATTCCAAAAGCGACTCAAGACCCAGAATATCACCAATTACAATTTCCTGAGATTCTTTCTCTCACAAAAAAGGGTTTTCTGCCCAACTTCTTGAAGTTTTCAACACAAATACCCACACTCCTTTCATATTGTGGTACTTGTTGTTGGGTCTCTGTGATGTTTTCACTGGCACTGGGGTTTCAGTCACTGTCTCAGAAGTTGGCTGGTAGTCATCATCATTTGTCACTTCAATTGGTCTCCTTCGCTCTTCCAGCACTACCTCTGTAATTTCCATCAGGGGTTCTGTGCTTTCTGTGGCCTCGCCACCTGGTGACTGTGTTCTTCTACCTGAAATAAATGAAGAGAGTCAATACAGGGTGTTCTCAATAATTGTCTCAAAGCATGCAGTACAGTACTGTACTATAAGTCTATAACAGTATAATTCAGTAAAATATTGCTACAATAAACTTCTGGGGACTTTGGAAAAAGTTTGTTACACTGAATAATTTGTTATAACAACATTTAACAAATAAATGATTGAATAACATTTTTACAACACACTACCAAATAAAATTAGTTATATCTTGCTTTTTTGGAAATTTTCAGATTTTAAAAATCATTTTATGATACACTGAGTGATTTTCTGAAAACATAATAACTTTGACCATGCATTCCATGAGTTGCAAAAATCTCTTCATCCTGGGATGATGATGCATACTGGAACCACTTTCAAGCATTTTTGTTATTGATTACAGCATACATCCATGATTAAAGCCAGCCACAGCCAGTTGAATTCGGTACAGGAAATTTCAGACTGTGCCACCTAAAATCAGGGAATTTCTTACCTGGAGAATCCATTAGACATCCCTTCAAAAATTTTCTGATTTTGAAAATTATATCGTAATGGTATTTGTTGTACTGATATTTCACTGTGCACCCACCAGTCACAGCAGCTGTAGTTGTGGGAAAGTCTTCCTCATCCTCATTACTTCCATTGTCTCCACCAGTAGTTGTCTCCAGCAAGGTAACAGATGCAGTGGTGTGGAATGCAGTGACATTTCCCAATAAGGTACTGCTGTTGTCAACTAAAAGGGATGCTGCTGTTGGCAGAGTTGTAGCCAGTGGACCCACAGCTTCCTCAGACACAGTCACTGTACCACCACCACCAGATCCCAATAAGGTACTGCTGTTGTCAACTAAAAGGGATGCTGCTGTTGGCAGAGTTGTGGCCAGTGGACCCACAGCTTCCTCAGACACAGTCACTGTACCACCACCACCAGCACCACTACTGCTAGTGGAATTCTCATTATTATGTCCTGATGGAGATGTGGTGATGGGTGTTGTGCTACTCCCCACTGGTGTAGCCCAAGGCTGCTCACTAAAGCAAAAACAGAAAAACCAGAAAATGGAGTTTCAAGAATAGCAAAACCAATCAAGGTCTCATTTTCATAAAGTGAAGCCTCTAGGGACCATAAAAAAATTATGGATGTTTTTATGGAAGTAAGGGAAACTGCCATTTTCCCCTTGAAAAACATTGAAGATTGAAAGTTGACATGAATGATCCTTCTCAGCCAATTACTGCCAGGTAAAGAAACTGAATATGCCCAGTTACTTCTTCACTTATTTTCAAAACACATCAGGTTACACTTTTATTACTCTTTTTCTTTTTTGGATCACTAAAATTATTCCCAAAATGTCTCCAGAAGATTTTACTTACAGGGGGAGGCCATCATTTAGAGGACATTTAACAGGTGGACTCTATGTACAACAAAGTTTACTTTGTTATACCCTTGTTACAGAATTTCTCTAAAGCAATATTATCAACAAGAAATTTCTTTCTGGTCACTTCACTTTTGTTCAAGAGAGTTTTTCACCAGTGATACATTGTTCCTCAGAGAATTCAGACATGGACATGAGACAGATTCTAAATAAAGAGATACATTATTTTTTTTTCAGCCTACTATTGAGGTTCTCAACTGTACCTGCTGGTATCTGGATTGCCACCAAGTGGCACCACTTCTGGCACAGGCTCCTTCTCAAACTGGTCATACTTGTGATGAGACTGGTGTCCAAAGGAGAACTTGTTCTGCTGTCCAGGGACTGAAGAGTGAACATATTGAACTTTGGCTATGGCTTCCAACTGGGCAGTTGGCAACATTCCCTATATAGCAAAGCATTCAAACACGTCATGAAGGATGCATATATTGCCTGAAAGAAAATGCAGCCAACCTGGAACCTGACTTCCCCTCCTTCTTCTCTGGTGGTGGACATGGATGAGGAGGCACCACCACCACCATCAAAAGATGGTTTCTCGTCATACGTGGCAACAATGTGGTTGGCAGTCAAGTGGTTCTGCTGGTCCCTGCGAAGCAACTCCCTTCCCCTGCGCTGCAGCAAGTGTGGTTCATCACTCATGTACCTGTCCATGCTGGTACACAAAATTAAAAAAATATTGTATTTACACATGCAACAACAACCTCTATGCAACAAATTATCATCAAGTTCCTGCCTGAATAATCTTTGAGAGAAAAAAAATCCCGAACAATAAAAACCTCTTCATCTCAAAAACTTTCCCTCTAAAAACCTCCATAACCCAGATCTTCTTGAAACCTTCTGGCTATCACAGTATTTTATTGACACAAGGCAGAGAAGAGGGATATAAAAACTGTAACTTGATCCTGTCATTTGTCTCTTCATAAAAAAAAATCAAAGCTCTTGTAAAAGTAGATTCAGTACACTAAGAAAACATCATTATTTTCTTAGAATTTATTTAGGCTCATGCAAAAATTTTCAAATTATTCCTTTCTTTTAAATGGACAGTACAGCATGTCAATAACATATCATTCAAAGAGCAAATGAGTGGACTTTGGAAGGGGTTATTTTTTTATCCCACACTTTTCCATTAATTGTTTTCAAACATCAGCACATCACAGAATAAAAAAAAAATCTGAAGCAAGGCAGGTTCAAAACAAGAGGTAAAGTGAATTTCATCAGAGGGTAAGAAATAATGATGCATTGAATATATATTTTACAGATACCTTTTACAATGTTCATTTTATACTGCAATCATTTCAAGCAAAAATATGTTTAAAACTATGAATCTTGATACAAGGACTTGCTCTATGTCACAAAATTTTTGGCAAGTACCATGGAGTTCATTACATACAGTTGACTCTTGTCTCTCTCTCTCCATAAAATGTAAGGGACCAGGAAATACTTTGTTGTAGACAACCTTTACAAAATGGGAGGGAAAACACTTTTTATGACAAAAAATAAAGTCATTTTACAGAGAAAATCCTTGTAGACAAAGATTGTCGTGAAGAAAGTCCTCCTGAATATAGATTGACCAGTGAGATTCAAAAAACAGTCAACCTTCAATTTAGTGCCACAAATTTTCCGTGGAAAAAATTTCCTTCTATTGCTTTTCCATGGGAAACCTGGATTTAGTGCCAACTCACTTTATGCCAGAAAAAATTCCTTCACCTGAATGAGAAATATGCGAAAAATCAGAGAAATAAAAACATATTTCTAGGGATAATCAGCAGGTTATCACCAAGAATCACATGTCCCTGTGCTGAGGATAATTTTGAAAATTCCAATTCTGAATTTACCTTCAATAGGGTGTTTGTCTTTTGATTTTTTTTTTCCACAGTAAAGAGCACCTCAAATACCTAGGATTTGTGTGCTTCCATTGAAAGGTTGATTCAAAACTTCAAGCAACAGGTCACCTCTCTTTCACTTGATCCCATTTGGGCAAAAATCAAACATATTCTTTACAACAACATAAAATTCAGATGCAGAAAAACCGGTCCAGTTGAAACCTCAAAAAATAATTTTTGTCTCTTTCTTGTTGAAAAAAAAGAGAAAGAAACAGACTCAAAGGCCAAACACTTTCGCAACAACAACAACAACAACAACAAAAAACCTTTTGTACCCATAGTGGAAGCCATCAAATGAATTTTCCTCTCTGACACAATACCCACCCTTGTTCATAGTGCCAGAAGAAACAATGACACTGAATCCGGGTTTGACTGTATTGTACTGTACACTATACTCTATTTATTCTGGCACTACCTCAATAAGTCAGCCACACCGTCCACCACGTCGCCCAAGACTGCAGTGTCCACCATCATGAGTCGTGGCTCACGAGACGACCCCTGCTGGTCTTGATGCTGTTGTTGTTGTTGTTGTTGGCGTCCATGATGGCTAGTGGCACTGCTGTAGCGCTGTTTGGCCGCCTCCTCGGAGAAAAGGGCGTCCTCGGCAGCCAGGAGCTCTTCCCGCAGCACCGACCCCTGGCGCACGTCCCCGTACATCCGCCGCATGAGTCCATGGTTCTCGTACACGAACCGCCTCACTGCTTGCCTTATTGTGTGGTTCATTCGGGAGAATGAGAAAAGCAAAACATTCGAAAAATATAGTGAAACATCTTCATGCAAAAAAAAAAACAAGCAAGGGAACCTGGGAAAAAGTTCGTTCAATTGAGATTTAAAGTTTGAAAATCACAAAGGGAAAAGAGCAATAAAATTTGTCAAGTGCCTTTACAATAAACAAATACAGACTGGAGGTGCATGTGTACAATTTTACAAAGGTTTTCTGAATGATTATAGCTGAGCACAATCTTGCCAATTTATTTAATCAGCTAAAACTTGTCTGGGAGCATGCTGATGATCACTTTGTGCTTTAATTTGTGTTCATTTATTGCATCATCATGTCTTTGTGTTCCTTGATATTTTCTTTTTATAATCTCATGAGGGGAACAAAGTGTACATATCTACATCACTTGTGCATTTGTACATTATTTCATGTACAGTACTTTTTTGTTTATTTAATACCCAAAAAAAGGCATGTTACACTTTTTCCATTCTGAAGTGATGGAATGTGCTTGGATGATTGTGGATGGGGAAGGATAGGGAGGGGTTTAGATGTGGTCA